ACCGGAGCCTTAGAGTGAGTTCCAAAGAAACTCAGAAGTCACTCAGGCTAAAGTGTCCTAGCCTGAACAGTTCTTTCTTCTATGCGTTTTTCTCTTCTCACCCTTCTTCCCCACCTTCATCTCTGGGATTGGAAAGAGGGCTGGAGTTTAAATGGGTTTTTTGGTGGTGGTTGTTTCCAGCAAAATTGGGCCTGGGAAACAAATGACAGAGGAACACTCCCACTTTTATTTATTTATTATTAATTTTTTAAATTTTATTTTTGTATTGAAATGTAGTCAGTTTACAATGTGTCAATTTCTGGTGTACAGCATAATGTTTCAGTCACACATAAACATCTGTATATACGTTTTCATATTTTTCATGACAGTTTACTACAAGATACTGAGTGTAGTTCCCTGTGCTACACAGTAGGACCTTGCTGTTTATCGATTTTATATATAGCAGTTAACACTCTCATTTTAAAGATGCCTGAGTGAAGGAAATGACTTTCTCCGAGCGTCAGAGCTGGTAAATGCCGAGGCTGGGAATGAAGCCCTAGTCCCTCCGCTTTCTTGGCTCAAGTCCACCAGCCTGGTAACTTCTCAGGCTACGGTGAGAACCTCTTTGTGCCCCTTCAGGCTTCCTTGAAGCCTAGCACAGGTCTTGGCAGGGTGCCCCCAGGTCCAGAACCACCCCACTCTGTGCCCCCTTCCCGACCCCTCTCTGGAATCCTGATCCAGGGAAAAAGACTCAAGGGCATTGATGCCTGTCAGACAGCTCTGTTCTTCACCTGTGGAGACTTCCAGGTTGATTTCATTCATTGGGGTTTTAAAAGTTAAGGAAAGGAAGGAGAGTGAGGGAGAGAGAGAAGCCGGATTCTGATTTCTCTGAGGGAGAACTGAGGTTTGACATGTGGAGTCCTTGGCTCAACTCCTACCACTGTTCAATAATCAATCAATTATGATTTTGATTATAATTGCAAACAAGTATTGGTCCTCTCTTTGGTACCAGGTACTGTAGAGGTGATGTATCCACAACGTCTTTAATCTTGACAAAATCTCAGAAAGGTTCCATCATCCCTGTTTTGTTGATAGAGAAATTACCTGCAGAGAGTTTAAACCCAAGGTTACACCGTGACAACTTTGCAGCCTCAGGATTTGCGTGCAGATCACCCTGACTCTAAACCTTATTTTTCAGAGCCAGGTGACCTTGAGCAATGCAGGTTCGTCATCTGTGACACAGTGGATAATAATAAAAATTCATGTGGTGGAAAGACTCCCAGAATAAATAAATCAAAATAAATAAAATAACTCCTGCTGGTCAGGATTGCCAGGAGGATTAAATGAGTTGATAGGGGGAAAGTGCTTTGTAAACTGCAATACACCATACCAACGTGATCATTATTATTATTTCAAAAAATATGGCTGCTCCCATGAAATAAAACAGCCCATGGTGTATATTTATGACAGCATGCCGCAGAAACAATTTCCATTCTGATGGGTTGCCTCCCTATCCTGTTATTAAAAGGTTAAGGAAAATGAACAATGGAGGATTAAGATTAGATCTTTCACACATGAAACCACAAAATCAATAGAGCCCCCGTAATCCATCCGATGTTATGAAGAAATATACCCCAGGCGCCTGGAACGATTACTCAGGGAAATGTCAACAGGTATTGACAAGAAACCTGGCAAGGCAGCCTTGGCCGGAGTTTGGCCGCTGCCTCCTTCACTCCAGCATCCTCCTGGCAAACCGGGACTCACCTTCTGAGGGCAGGGAGCGGTGAGGGAGCTGAGGAGAAGGGCCCTTTCCCTCCTCCCAAAGTTGTGCAGAATTTGGGTTTCTGTAATTGGGTCAGCACTGCTTGGAAGAAATGATCGCCTTAACAGCTCCCTGCGGAGCTTGTGATTACACTTACTTGTGGTCAATAGAAAGCCCATTTTAAAAATCCTGCTGTGGTTATCCGTATGCTATGGTGGTCATTATCACCGTGGTCCTCATTCAGTATTTAGAGGATGCCAGCTCTCTTCCTGGACACCTGTGTGATTGGGGTCAAGGCTGAAAAGCAGTGAGTTCTCCTTGAAGAGCTGGTTCTTCCTGCCCACGAGGCAGCGGATGCCTGGAGACGTCAGGGGAAGAGAGACTTCTGGTGAGTGTTGTGGTCAGTCTTTTGGTCAAAAGTAAGATTAAAGTCTGGCTCTTGGGTGCCTTAGGACAGAACGACCTTTTGATCCACTTCTGTGGTTGCCTGAGTCCCATCTGTGTGACCCTCCTCCCACAGTCCTGAATCTGGACAGGGCACTATAGAGGATAACATAATATAGCAGAAATAACAGTGATGTACTGTGTCAAGCACTGGACAGGAAATCTACATACATTGCCTTTAATCTTTATAACCCCCACGCAAGTACTGTCTTCTCTGTAGTGTAAAGGATCAGAGAGGCAAAGAAGCTTGCCCAAAGTCACATAGCTAGTCAGGGACAGAACTGAGATTCAAACTTAGCCACTGTTCCTCCGATGCCCACACTCTGCCTGCTCTTTGGACCAGCCTCTCAAAAGTCTTAACTCCTCAGAACAGAAGTAAGCACTGTGACTGGGCTGTTAACGAAGGGCAGAACCGCCCTCCCACAAAAGTGACTGGCCCCAGGGTGGTGGAGTAAAAGGAGACGGTGCCAGAAAGGAGCGGAGGATCAGAGCAGACTGGAGAGGTGTGGGCTGACTGTAGGGAGAATCAGGAGGAAGCCCAGCCAGCAAGACCTGCGCAGGAAGGACAGGCCAGACTCGGGGGACACTCAGTGCCCCCAGGGCTCATAGGCTGTCTTTCCTTCTGCCTCTGAGGCCACAGGTTGTTAGATAACGGGATATAAGAGCCCAGCCGCTCACTCTGCAAGCATCTGAACACAGGCCAGCCGCAGCCAGCCTCTTTTGGTCCTTGTGCCCATTTCTAGTGGCCTGGCTCCAGCTGTAATCTGCTTTCTGGTTCCTAAGAGAATCAAGGTGGCTCTGGCTGGAACGCCAGGAGGCTTGCCTGGCCTCAGCGAGGCTGCCTGGATCTGAAATGCAGGGCTGCCCTGTCCACAGGGAGTGTGGTGCTTACCACAAGGGGGAGGACGTGAGGCCCAGAGAGGACAGGAGACTTCCCCAGGGCCATGGCAGGTGGCACAAAGGGGGCAGGAATGGGTCCTGAACCACGTGCTCTGGTGTGAACCCTGGACTTCCCCTCCCATTCTGTTCTGCCTCTTAGAGGAACCTCAAAACCAAGCCAGGCTCTAGGCATCAGGCAGAACTACGTCGGGAAAAGGTCATCTCTCTGCCCTTTTTTGTGCTGGTTCAAAGAAGTCCTTGGAGTTGAGAGTCAGGTCCAGTCCGGGGAGGCCTGAGGGCGGGAGTCGACCCCCACACTTGACATAGAAGCTGAATGATAATCATGGCTAATGCCCACATAATGTATTCATCACGTGCCGTGAATGCGTCTAAATATCTTATGTAGTGTTACCTCGCTAACCTTCACAGGAGTCCTGTGAAGTGGGTGCAGTCAGCTCCATTTCCTACACAGTAAACCTGAAGGTAAAAAGCCTAGCTAGTGAGCAGAAGTCCCCTGCTGTAGACTGAAGGTCTCTGCCCCCCCCAGATTCCTGTGTTGAAACGACCCTGCCCCCCGCCCCAGCGTGGTGGTGTCTGGAGGTGGGGCCTTTGTGAGGTGATCAGGTCAGGAGAGTGGAGCCCTCAGGAATGGGATGAGTTTCCCAGTAAAAGAGACCCCAGAGGGCCCCCTCACCCCTTCTGCTAGGAGAGGACACATGAAGTTAGAAAACGGTGGTCTGTGAACCCAGAAAGGGGCCCTTCTTCAGACACCACTTCTGCTGGTAGTGTCACTTGGACTTGCCGCCTCCAGAGCTGTGAGGAATGAATCTCTGGTGTTTTTCAGTCACCTCACCTGGTATTTTGTGATAGCAGCCCGAATGGACCAAGACCCCCGACTTCTGCACCCAGCAGCAGGGCTACAGAGTCGTGCATACCCGCGCCTGGTTCATGGTGGAGACGGGGGTGTCAATTTCCAAGGTAAAGAGAGCCTCGGAGGATGAGCAACGGCTCATCTTGACAAATGCAGTTATTCAAAGATGGGTTCAGCGCTGCTAGACTAGAACCTTCAGGATAAATAGAAGCTAGCGAAGTATTATTCTGAGGCAAAATCAACACTATATTTAAATTCACATAAGACTCCTAAAACAACTCATTTGTACCTCAAGCAATTTAAAAAAAAAAAACTTTCTTGGGCTGGTGAGTCAGTATGATTTAGATGCCTGGGTGATTCAACCTTGACATCGACCTTGCTGTGTGTCAACCCTGTGCGGGAGCCAAGCTTGCAAGGCCACGGCTTTCTCTCCAGCCAGTGCTGGACGGTTGGGTCCTGGCTGCACCTAGACAGACATTACTGTTCCCTCTGACAGGGGGGCTGTCATTCTGGTTTTGCCCATGCTGCGTGCCAAAGTTTCCACATCAAGGAACAGATACAGGAGCCCATCCAAGTCAGGTATCTAGCTGGAGGGACTTCTCAATTGGAGATGATGAAATTAACCATTAGAACCATATCAGCAGTGATATTAATTGTTAACATTTCTTGAAATTCTGCTCTGTATGGCAGTGTGCCAGGCACCTTCACTGGCCTGAACCAAAAAGTCAAGTAACTTGACACAAGTGAGTGAAAGAGGTAGACTTTACAACCATCCTGACTGCAAAGCCTGTTCTCTTAACACGTAAGCAAGGCGAGCCTAATGCCATATGTCTGATTTATGACACAGTTAAGCAGAAGTACTTAGAAAACGCTGTGGGGATGCTAGACTGGGGTTCTGATGTTGATGTCTTCCTCAGCTAAGGATGTAACCTCTGTTCAGGTTGGACCAGGTCTCCTGCTTTGTTTCATTTGTAAGGTCTGTTGATCTCCTTTTTTCCTCCCCCCCCCAAATATTTATTATTCAATAACTCCGCGCTCCCGAGCCATTCCCTCATTCCTCTTTTCAGAAATAGGGACGACTTCACGGATTTGCGTGTCATCCTTGTGCGGGGGCCGTGCTCATCTCCTCTGCGTTGTTCCAGTGTTAGTAGATGTGCTGCCCGGGCGAGCACTGTTGATCCTCTTCTGAGTGTCCCTGCTCTTTTTTTTTTTTTCATTATCGCCCTCATTTTAATTCAGTCTAATCAACACAAGAAAATTGTCTCATTGCAAAGCCGAAATAAATAATTGAGAGAGAGAAAGTAAGAAGTGAGAGAAACATTGAATCTGTGATCATCAAAGTGCCCGAGTTGGTAGAGAATTCTATGCGTACAACCTGTAGAAGCTTTTGTAAAGAAGTAATGAGACAGGCTGGCATTCTGTTGCAGCATCTTTCAATGTCATCATTGTTAACTCTTTTTACTTTAGATTAAACAGCTGTTAACGAGGTTCTGGATGTTGTAAGTGGATTCATCGGGCTGAACCAAGGTGTCAGCAAGATCGTGTTCCCACAGAGGTCCTGGGGAGAATTGCTTCTCTTTCATTCAGGTGGTTGTAGAATTCAGCTCCCGGAGGTTGTAGGACTGAGGTTCCCTGTTTGTTGTTGTTGGCTTTGTGGTCAGTCCATGTTTTGGTAACAGTGGTGATCAAATGAACATGTTCCTGGGCTTGGAGGATATGCTGGCTCCAATGTGGTTGTTCTGAGCAGTATTTTTGCATGAATTGGTTGAATGAACCCTCCCAGTGCTGTTCGAAGTGAGGCTATGGCATTATCCCCATTTCTCAGGTGTGGAAACAGAGGCACTGAGGGTTTGGGTGTGCAGCCTGCCTCCTCTGTAACAGGGAAGAACAAATCTGCTCTTCTGTCTCATGCTCTGTCTCTGGACTGTGTCCCTTCCCTGAATCAGGAGTCTTTAAACCCTTTGAAGGAAGGTCTTGGTCATTACCCCCTGCCAATTCATAAAGTCCATGTAAATCTTGAGTCTTGGTCAGAGAATGATCAGGCTGCTTTCCTCATAAATCTGGAGGTTATGTTTTCCTGTGGTGGTGGGACAGTGACATGACATATCTCTCTAATCAAAAAACATCTGCCTACCTCTGTGAGCCACATTTTCTAGAAGCAGTGGTTAAAGAAAGGTATTTTCAGACTCTTGGGGAGACAGAAGCTCTTCCTGATGAAGACTTAGATTTAAAACGACGACAACCACCGCCTCATTAAATAGTGCCACTTCCTGGATGTGGTAGCTGGTCTCCAATGAACCACGCCTCCCTGTGTTCCCCCATTGTGGAGCTCCCTCCCACCCTGAGTCAGGGCTGGCCCTGGGACTACTTTAAACAGTAAAACGTGATGGGAGCAACACTGCACCAGCCCCAGGCTAGCACCTTAAGAAGGTCTGGCAGCTTCGGCTCTTAGACTCTTGGAGCCGTGGGCTGCCATGTAAGAAGCCCCTGTGGAGTGGACACCAAGAGAGGAAGGGGCCCCAAGGAGGACAGAGACCCCAGCTAAGCCATGCGCTGTCCAGCTTCCCAGCTAAGTCAACAAACGTCTCAGTGGAGACGCCACCTGGGATGTTCCAGCCCCAGCGGACATCGTGTGGAACGGAGACGACCATGCCTGCTGGACCCTGTTCGAATTCTTGACTTCCAGAACTGTGAGTAAGAGTGAAATAATTGATGTTTTTAAGCTGCTAAATTTGGGGGTGATCCTTCCTGGCAACACCGGATAGCAGTAACTCTATATGATACGGTGTAACATCAGTAGTTGCATCCGTAATTCAAAACTCTGCCCACTCAGCCACTTCTCTCTTTGGTTTGGGGTTTCCAAGCACAGGTGGAGTTTCCCAGAGTTCCTTCCCCACCCCTATGACATCAGGAAAGTACCTGGTTCTACCCCTTTTGCAGTTACTCAGGTCATCATTACAGATGCACACGATCACTCGAGTTTATTTCGTCTGTGAATGTGGAGGCACCATGGGGACAGGGAGCGAGGGTGATATTTACCGCTGTGTCCCCCACTTTAGCACAGCGTTCCCTGCACAGTTAACATCAAATGTATGTGTGTGTGTGTGTGTGTGTATATTTTTATTTGAATGAATAAATAAATTGGTGCAAAGTTCGAATTGGTGTGAAGTCCAGAGTAGCTAAGGCATAGATTGAGAAAGCACTCATTTACCAGGCTAAGGAGTTTGAACTTGATCCACTAGTGAGTGAATGAACAGATGGACAAGGGGCTTCAATTTCACCATTTGCCACAGTTAATCCACAAAATCAATGCAACTACATAATCCGCTGAGTCGTTTGAAGTCCCCCTGGTAATTAGTTTCCTGGCACATTGCCGGGTTGAATCCCATTTCCCCTCCTCACACATTTCTTGCATTCCTGGAAATATCTGAAAGAGAAAACAAGTACTCGATATTTCATGATTTAAAAATTGCCTCACTTTAATATAAAAACATTTACAAAAACGTGTTGCTCTGGGTCGAACTCGAGATGTTTCATTGCTGATGCCAGTGATGTCAGTGGGCTCCACGGGGTCGGTAAAATATCCTAAGGCTTTGGGAACCAAAAAAGTGTCTAATAGAGAACATGGTGTACTGTGCTCCAACATGAAACGTGTAATTACGTGTAGGCTCTGAGGGCCCCCGAGTGACCTAGAAGCATACACCTGGCCCACAGGTGAATCCCAGACACCCTGCTGCTCCGTGATCTACGTCTAAAAGATTTCCCCAGTTTGGGGACTTCATTAAAAGCATAATTTTCATCACTGCCATGGCTCACCTGCTTTCTAGGGTTTCCTCTTTACCCCTCCTTCTCACATATACTGTTGGGTCCTCTTAGATCAGCATGCTGGTCCATGACCAGGAACGCAGCCGTGTGCCCTCTCCAGGCCCTAAATCGCTAGCACCAAATCCGTCTGTACCTAGAAGGCTCTCTTCCCAGTGTTCCCACTTGTACTTGGCGAGTCCATCCCAGTGGTGGAGGCAGAGCCTGCACAGTCTCCCCTCTTCTCTTGGCGCTCTGGCCAGCCCTCCCCTTGGAGTTCACTCCTGGCCTCTCCTGTCCACCTGCTCTTTAAGGAGTTGACCATCACCATCAGGGCTGATCCCTGTTCTCGGTGCACTCCCTGTGTCTTCCTGAACTGTCTGGCTTACTCTCAGCATCCTGTGTCAGTTCCTCTCTACTTAGAGCCAGAGATAAATACGTGTCTACCCTTTGTGGGCCATCCACCATAGAAGAAACAGGGCACCTGTGTTTGTCCATAGAGAAGCGCACATCCATGCTTGTAAACAGAAAGAAACAGTGGAGACTCAGAATTCCCTTAGCTGTCACCACAGGACACACAAAGCCCT